TTTGTTCCTAAATTACTTGTAATTACAATTTTTCTATGTATAAAAATTTCAACGTATTATGTTTGAATTTCGTAAACTTCATATCGATTGGATTGTTTGTGTACGGCAACGCGACACATAGGCGATCTGCCGAGAGGGATGACTTCCGGGACAACTTTCTATGGGAGACTGCCCATAAGTGTTACAAATGGGAAATTTCACATGGGCTGACCACGTGGAGATTTCTTGATTTTGACGAGTCGTGAACCCATAACCAACGCATTTGGAAAAGCTATTTCATATTATGTAACTAATTTTCGACTTTAACGGGCATTTCCTCCGAATGTCCTCTAAACCAAGATTTTACTATAGTATTATTATGAATACTGTATAAAAAGTTGCTTTCAGTGGCGTAGCGTAGTGGGGGCGGAAAAATTTCACAATAAATAATAATAATATCTTATAAAAATTTGAACCATTTTATATTTTTGTCGCACCCACGATTCGGACCAATTGAAATGAGCACCGAATGTTTCATTGCTTATTCTGTGACGAAACTGAATTTTAGCATTTTAAATTGAGGTACCTAAATAAGGGGGCGGCGAAATTTTCCTCTGCCCCGGGCGGCTGATACCCACTCTATGCCACTGAAACTGGATAAAGTTAATATTAAAAATACCGAAAAACCTTTATAATACGGCCGAACGAAAATTAAGTCCGAGACAACGGGGAAATCGACGCAGAGGTTAAACAGACTGAGGAATGACTGTTCTTTCTCCTTGAATTTCTGAATTTTTAAATGATCTCTCCCCTAAATTCTTAATTTGATCGCTTAATCAATTTGACACCTGAAAGAAGTTGGATCAACACTTGTTCTGCAAGGGTTGATCCAACTTCGAAACTTTCGCTCGTACCTCTCATGCCATGATATTTTATTTCCTGACGGCTGAGAATTTTTCATTAACTTACAACGCGACAATTTTGCTTTCGGAGGAATGCTTCATTTATTTCCAAATTTTGTCATTGTAGACCCATAAATTCCCACTGTCGTCCGTCCGTATATCTTAACCGCGAGAACGGAGTTATATGATATCCGAGGCCAGATGTGAAAACTGTAGGGACAGGAGGCATTAATTATTTATATATGATCTTTTGATTCAAACAGGAAGTCACGTTTTTTTTCAATTCAAAACGTCAGTTAACAGATGACCGGCACGACTCTATTGTTGATGTACACTTTTCCGTTGGCAAGCCACTACTAACTTTAGGTATTTTGAATTAAATGATTTCAAAATATGATTAAGAATTGCAGCCTGGCATTGTGACCGTGTCACAATAAACAATTGCTCGTAGTTATCGTTTGTTTGGTTGTGAAAGCTTGGTTTGCACTTGTGAAAATATTTACGATAAAAACTACATTTTGATCTTTGTCGTGTTATGAACCAGAATATCGAAGTTAAAATCCTTCTGAGAGGTAGTAAGGAGTTAATAATTGTGGAAAATGTCATTTTCCCATCAAAAATAAACAAAGAAAACATGACAGTAAGTGCAAGAGACTGATATGTAGAAACTACACCATTAAGATGTGTACAAATTGTGCACTATATACAGTACATCATTGTGGATAACAAAAGTATATTAAGACGAACTAACCTTTTGTTCATTATGTTGGAGACACTTAAATAGGCGAAATAAAGAGAACTGTTTTAATCTCGGTTTTTGTTAATTATCTATAATTAAGAAAGACGTGATAGCAGTGGCGTTCCTTGTATTTTCTGAAATATAAATATATATTGTTCGATTATTTTCATATTTTAACGTATTTTGGATTAATTAAAATTAATATAGTATTTTATTATAATCGCATTATGTACCTTATTACAAATTTTTGTACTACATGTGAAAAAACGTGTACAATTCCTGCACAGTATTAAAAAATTAACTGTTACTTTGGTAGCGTCATTTACAACTAAGTTTAATGAATGAGAGTGATGCGCGTGGTACAGAAAAAGCTCTAGAATTTATATTCCTTAAATTTACGTATCCGTTGTCATAAAAATTTGTCTTTCCATTTTTTTCTTACGACTACAAATATTCAAGTACAAAGTAACCGGTTTCGACTTATTTCTACTTAAGAAATAGTTAAATAATTAAGAGATTATTGAATTAGGGTCATAAAACTTTGCTGAAAGAGCCGGAATTTTACTTAAAAGCTTAACTGAACGAATCTCTAGTCGAGTACAGTGGAGATTGGTTTCTTCGTAATATTAGATGTAGTAAAGACAGAAATTTTTCAGTTCAATGAGAGTGACTGAAAAGTATATTTTGGAAATTTTCGTGGTTCTAAAACGAATTAGTTAGAAAACAAACGACAAACAATCTATTAAGTTTAACATATTTAGACTTTTACAGCTATGGTGAGAAACGTTTAAAATGTACAACAACTCTGTCGCGTCTTTTTAGGTATACGAGTGATTCGACGAAAGAGGCATTTCACATTGACTAATATCGACACCCTCGGGTCTGGCAGTCCGCGTGCCGTGCAACCTACTCTGATTCCATCCATTAGCTGCTCGTAGGGAGCTATTTGACTAATTGGATTGTTTTAAGATTTAAAAAGTAAAGAATATTTTATGTTATTTTTATGTACGTTTCTTTACAATGCTATATTTAATTTTAATTTTCTTTAAAAGTACTGTATATTCATACAATTGAAGAATAGTTTATATCAGGTATGTACAGTACATCCACCGCACATTTTACCAAGTAAGTTTTTATTATTTTATTTTTTATTGTAGTGGTTTTGACAACTTTGATAGAATTCTTTAGTGCAAATCTACAATAAATGGTAATTCCTTTGTTCAAACACGATATAGTGCAATCACTCGACAACTTGAGATTTTCCGCGATGATAAGTGAAGATGATTATTTGTGTAAATCATGCACCGGTTACACAAATGTTTAAGGATTTTTAAAAAATGGTGATTCAGTTTTTGAGTTGACTGGAGAGAGGTCTTATTAAGTCCAAAACGTGTACAAATAACTTATACGCGTATCAACTGAATAAAAGTTAGTGATGGAAAATGCCAAATGGTCCCAGTGGGCGAGTGGTCTCCGTAGCCGCTCATAGCGGTGACCAGACCCTAAACACTGGGAAGTTCGGTCGTGGGTTCGCGCCGCGATCGGACAGGCTGGCTGCAAGGAGTTTTCCGGGTTTTCTCCTTGCCAATAACGACTGAATAGGAGGCCAGTTCCCCTTAAAAGTCCTCCCGGAAGGCATTATTTCCCGCGCGTGCGTATAAGCCGTTAGATACGGCCGGCTCTTCGGTCGCATAGCGATCAATAACTCGTCTCTCGGAGAAAAAGCGTATCAGGCTATAGTCTCCATATGAACCAAGGGAGTAGAATAAGAATAAGAATGCCAAATGGTCGAGTGATTGCACTATATCGTGTTTGAACAAAGGAAAAAATACCGACTCAGTTTCAAGAATGTCAAAGAAATGGTAATATAAATTGTACAAGAATATTTTATCGCATCTGTTTTATATTTTTGATATTTTTTCACTCGTTATGTTTTTTTGTTAAGTCATGGCAACGCAACACTTGGGCGATCTGCCTAGGGGGATGCCTTCCCGGAGGTCTTTTTAAGAAAAACTGGCACCTATTTAGGCGTTACACTAGTGGAGAAAACCCGGAAAACTCCATGTGGCCAGCCCGTCCGAGCGAAGCGCAAACCCACGACCGAACTCTCAGTGTTCAGGATACGAAGACCTCTTGGCCACTGGTGAGCCACTCGTTATAGTGTACGCGTTACAGTATAGTGTAGAACGGCGATTCCAATAAATATCGAATTGAGATTCCCTAAGTGGGGTCACCAATTCTTATGTGGCTACGTGAACATTTTTTCATAAACATTATTCGTGTGCATAAAAATTATTCAAAAGTGTTGTGTATTTTTACTTTTGCTTACTTTGACAGCCAAAGGAAAAAAAATATACTGTACAACACTCGATTGAAGAATATTGACAATGAACAGCAACAAGACGAAAATATTCAACAATAAGTTGCTTAACTTTCCCGGCAAGTTTGGTGGCGCCATCTCTTATCAAAATGTATTTAAAAACTTTTTATTCTTTTAACTATTATAAAATGGCAAAATGCTTAATTTTGAGAGTAGGGATGAATTTTATAAAAAATTGTAAATTCTAATAACGAGTAAAATCGTCATTAAGTCCGATTCTATTGGAGATACACAAGATCCCCTTTATCCCCCACCCTTCAATCTTTATTCACCAAAATTTAATAGCATCAATCCTTCTAATAAGCAACCCTCCCTGCAAAATTTTAGAAATCTTCGACAAAAAGCACAGTTGCTATTAAACTTCAAAGAGGATGAACAAAATCGTGCCGCCACACAAACCTATATAATCAGATTAAACACACACGCACATACACAGATTGTTTGATATTAATCAAAGTACTGTAATATGATTAGGGTGTTGCTATAATCATTTCTCATTTTCGTTCGAGACAACTGCTCCAGATAGGGCAGCGTTTCAATCCTTGGATAGGCTGATGATGACAATTTTTCTTCTAACAATCAATTTTTTGATTAATCGATAATTCTATATTTTTAATCAACAGATCGATTAATTGGTTTGATTCAATATCAGTTATATGCAAATCGCAAATGCAGTAGGCTTAAACGTAACGTAAAATGAAAGATAAACACATATACATGATCCGGTATTTACCACACAGAACCGTGATTGGAATTTTTTTAACAAAATGTTGAAAAATCATTAATAGGACCTCATATTGGAAAGTGACAAACAATGGTAAACAAAGAAACAGTAACAGTAAACAACTAATATAGGAGAATAATTCAGAAAACGATTTTGCAATTTTATGAAATTTCAATATCAATTCATACAATAAATAAAATTTTTAAATTTAAAACAAGTGACCGTTGAATTATAATTAACTATTTAAAATATTGTAAATTGTAATTCAACGGTCACTTGTTTTAAATTTAAAAATATTGAACTTATAATATTTTCAAAATTAAATTTAAAATACAACATTGCTTAACATTAATTGCACATCCTTGAAAAATACTACAGTATGTTGATACTTTGTGTTATGGACATATACAGGGAACAGTAACCAATGTACATAAAGCATTTTTAGGTGCCACTTTACAAAAATTTTCGCAAGTTAGCATGTCTCTCTTGGGGCATATCTCTGGACCACGCACTGGATCACACATGATACCTGCAACAATTTTTAGTTTATTGTTAAAGTTATATACAAAATTATTTGACAATTACTTACCAGTTAGGCATATCAGAAAAATTAAGCACAGTAATTTCATCCTTAATTCCTAGTTTTAAAAGTTAAAAGTTAGTTATTTCAAAATATAAAAAGAATTTTATCATTTCATATATACAGTATTTACTTATTTTTTGCAGGGTGTTATCTGTATTATTAAACAAAATTCGAAGAAAATAATTTTTATAGAGTGGAAATGATCGGTTTTATAGTAGATAATTACGTAATATCAGTATAGTATTATTACCCAACTTGAAAACATCAACAACATTATTATAGTTTATTAATACATCAGGTAATCTTATTTCATCATTTTGTTAGTCATATAAAAAAAACAATCTGTCCTATTTTCCTAACTACTTCTATATTGACGAGTGAAGTAGTTAATTAAGGCGTCAACCTGCCGGTCTGGGCAACCTAAAATCCTATCTGGCTGATCAACCCTAGGAATTTTTTATGAAGATTTGTCCTGGATATTTAAGATCCCGTCCTCACCACCCAACAGTCTCTATTTTGGTCTGGTCGAACCCATGATGAGCATAACAAATGGTTTTCTTAAACCCCATAGCACAGAAAGAGTAAAAAAAAATTACCTCTATAGTATTTTAAAATCTTCTCTCAATAAGACTGCCTTATTTTTCATAGTTATGCTTAGAATTTGTTTATTTTCCTTTTCTATATTATGCAAAATTTAATAAATAAATATTAAAATGATCGAATGTAATAATAGCTTACACGAAATTATCATATAGGTAAATACTAACGAATACACTTATCGGAAATTGTATGCAAACTTATTCTTTGTACACGTTTCAAATATTTTTTAAAACTTCGTATTATACAACTGTATTTCAGCATAAAGTATCAATTTTTCTATAAAATATCAGGTAGTCATCAACAAACTTTTCTCTGTAATATAATAATAATAAATAGGATATCGAACAATGAATAAATACAGGATTTCAAAATATGAAATAGTATACTTATTTATATATATATAATATAGTATTCCAATAATCTCTAATATTTTGAAATTATATGTTTTTCTACATATAAATATTTATGCGATAATTTTAATAATGGAATTTGAATGTAGTTATTCAAATTCCAAAATACACGAATGTACGAAAACAAATATTTGCATCCGTACATTCGTGTATTTTCTTGCTTTTAATCGTCGGTATTACTGTTTTAGTCTTTTTAAAATTAGATCTAGCATATTATTTTTGAATTTAGTTTAAATATTCATTTTTCCCCCTATGTAAACTATAATTTTTCTGGTTTTTCTTGCAATACAGTTTTATTGTGAGTTTTTTTATTTTTCAGGTTCACATTTTTCTGCTTTGGTGATATCACTTTACCATTTTCTTCTTTTATGCTTCTTTCTTCATTAACAGAAATGAATTACACATAACTATAAAAGCAGAGACTAAAAGTGTTTGAAAATTGTCCATTTCTAGATCTCGGACGAACATTCGTCGTTTTCGCAACGAACGGATACTCGGCAAATAATTATGTGTATGCCTTACGTGTGTGTTCGCAGTGACAAACACTTCGGAAAATGGTCTGACAAAGGCTATTATTTGGCATCAGCCGAATGCCGAATGTGTGGACACGCCCGAAAGTTCCGTGCTTTGTCTGAGTTAATCTAAGCTCTCTTTAATACGACACGAAATTAAATTTCGACATTCTTATTTGTGGTAATGAGTTTATAAAAGAGTGGAAATTGAGCCAGCATACCCAAATGTGATTGAGACAGAAGAATAGCAAATTACCACAACCATAAAGAAAGGACACAACCAGGACTATTTACAAGGTTTTAACTGGACTTGTTTAGTATTGTTGTGTTACTGTCCTAGTGATAATTTAGAATCCTATTAATAAGTTTCTTGTAATTATAAAAGAGTGGTTTATCTATGGGAAAAACGGGCAATTGCGTGGGACCATTCTCTTTTTTGCCCATATGATAACGCGCCACTGGTTATCTGTGTGCGTGTAAGGCTTTTTCTTTTTATCTCTTTCCGCCTGTGGGCATTAATTAAGAGTGCCTCGTTTAGCAAATCCATTATGGGTTTGACCAGGCCCACAATGGGGTGGCCGGGTGGTGAGGGACGGGGCCCGATATATCCGAACGGATCACCCCCGAAAAATTCCTGGAGATTTTTTACCCGTTCGGACTCGATCCCGTGTCCCCCAGAGCGGCAGGCTGCCGTCTTGACCGCTCGGCCATCCGGTCACTGTGTAAGGCTTTTATTGTTGCTGCCCGATACTGAGTTCGTCAGGAAACCGAACCCAAGAAGGGTTTGCGGGTATAAATCACGTTTATACCCGCACCAAAGGAATGAAATTCGAGACACCTTTACAAATTTCCCGTTTATTATTACAAAAATTGTCGCTTATACAGTATATTTAATCTTCTTTCTTCTTTTTTCTACTCCCATTGATCGTCCCACGAAGACGTTCTTGGGCAACAGTTCGCAAGTCCTTTTTGATATTCGAGTGGCACCGGAACTGGAAAGAAGTCGTTGACAATGTGGACGAGGGGGTAACTTAATATTTAAACGAACCTTGAAACTTTTGCTCGTATTTCGATTAGTCTTGTTTTCTTTCTTGTCTGTTAAGAATTTCTATTAGGTGTTTTGAGGTACTTTTATTAAAATAAATATTTTATGGCATTTCCAGCTCGCCGTTATTTTGTCATAATTACGGAAAGACCAAGTTCGTCTATTTGTTCTGACAAGCAAGGCTCGACCGAAACTTACATCTATTACTTTTTTATAACAGCATACATGATAACATGAGCAACCCAGNTCTGATATTTTGCAAGAAACTTCAAGTTATAAAAAAAAAGTATATTGTTTTTTTTCTGAATTTTCAAAGTTGCTGCTGTTTGCTGCTTGCTTAGCTACAGCCACAGTGAGTACACGTTAAAGATCTAGCACATTTGCTTCGTTCTTATTCTAGGACATCGTTTCTCAAAGTGGGCGATAACGCCCCTAGTAGGCGCTGAAGGCTTTTGGGGGCAGTAGAGGGCTCGGTGATTTAAATATGAGTTTTATTTCTTCTCCCTAAAACATTCTTTGATCTCAGGGTGTGACCCATATACTATTTATATCTATCCTATTCATATAATAATGCATGTTTAAACATTATATTTGCAATAACAGTTTAACATACGCAACAGATGGTAATGTAAAAAGGTAAGTTAAAAAATATGGGGCACTATATTTTTTTAATCTCAAAGTGGGCAGTGGTCGAAATATGTTTGAGAACCTGTGTTCTAGGAGATAAAACAGATTAAGGATATAAAGTTACAGTACAGTACTAAATGTTAAAAACTTAACAAAATAATGTTCACCGCCTTTGATATAAAGAGCGGTTCTCTAAGAAATGCTAAATTCTGCTACACGAGCACAGGTTTCATGCTATGCGATAAGTTCGTTTTTCACTTCAATCATTGACATTACAACCTTCCTCAGACTTCGTTGCTTTCCTTTACTAATTAATTAGTAAAGGTTTTATTAGGTCAAAGTTTTGCGTATTTTTAACAGCAGTCGTTATCTAGCATCGATGAGTGTTAAATTCATAACTATTGTAAATTAAACGTTAGTAATAATGAGAGATTAAAATAAGCTAAATAAATACAAACTTTTAACGTTACTTCAAATTTTGTTAAAAATTCAGTTTAAGATACTTCAAACGTTACTTGCGGCACACCTGACTCAACACGGCACTCCAAATGTTATTCCCCTCAAAAACGTATGATACAATTGATAATAGGTTAGTGGCATTACACAATACTATTATTATTAAACAGACATCAACACCTGTGTGCAAATTTGTTTTACATTTAATTTCTTAGAATACATAAAAATGCGTGTCTTGTAATAAAGAATAAACATCATATTTCATCGGTGCTGCGGCAGAGAATGAAATACAAGCATAAAAAACAGCAACTGTGATGATAAAAATCTATTAATTTCAACTCTTATTTATATATGTAAAAGTTCACGTCACATCTTTCACCTTGTGACAACACACCGGTTGCGGAACACTGGTCTATCCATTCATTTGATCAGTGCCGTAACTAAGCAAGTGCAATCGCACAGGGCCTACTTGGAAGAGGGGTCCAAAATGTATGTATTTGTTTTATTTTCCCAAACCTAATTAAGGGACCTAAATGCAAATTCTTGCACAGGAATGGCTAGTTACGGCACTGCATTGTTATTAAATGAAATTTTTTGTCAGAATATAAAAAATAGTAAACAAAATTGTTCAAAATTTGCTTACTGAACAATGATTAACAATTTCCTCAGAATACTGTGTGTAATTTTTAATTCAAATTTCAATACAAAATACTTTTTTACTATACTACATAGGCCTATTCATATATAAATACACATGCGCGAGTGTCGGGATAAAATCGTCTGTCATGCGATTTCCCGCGCTTTTCCATTCGTTCGACTAACGAGGTTGTCTCCATAGAAACAGCAATCGGACCACTTTTGAAGACTCGACCGCTGATTGGTTGAGAGATATCGGACCATCGGCGGACGTCTTGTAGCGCTACTAAGCGCTGATTGGTGGAAGCCGATTGACTTCAATCCGTATAAAAGGATTGAGTTGTGGCGGGAAGTTCAGTTCGCCTTGGACGCAAGAAGGGAACTCACGTTTGACTAATTCGCCTAAACTGGCCCCGAAGATTGTTTCGTCTCTTTGTGCTGTAATTGATTTTATAGTTAGTTCGTCGCAAGGTGTCTTTTCGACGGACCTGTTGTAGTGGATAAATGTGATGAACTTTGTTAACATCTGACGTTTTGTAAATGTATGTTTTGTGAACCTTTGTAACTGTACATACGTTTACTTTCAATATATATATGTGTTTTGAATTTAACTGGCGTATGTGGGTATTTGAACTTGACTGCGAGGTTCGAAATTTATGACTTTACAATCTATTTAAAGTTGTCAAAATCAGTTCATTAGCTGATGTTAAATCATGAAACAGAACCATCCGTCATTCGTCTTTAAACAACAAACATCAAGTGATTTCTGTGTTATCTTCCAATATCCATTTAAGAATCATCATCCTGTCACGTCCGGGATTTAACGTCACACATCCGAGAAAAACTGTCACATTCGGGTTAAATGTCCAATCTGGGAGCCTTTCACAAATCGATAAA